TACTTGGTCTGACTAGCAAATCCACAGTGGGCATGGGAAGCCAAGATTCAATTTTAGAAGTTCCATAGTAATATTTGAGTCTGAAATGCTTTGGATAATTTGGATAATGCCTAAGTATGTATATGTAAGGAGGAATACCAAATAGCACTTGTTTGTTTTGTTGTGGAATTGTGGTAATCCTCTTCATTTTCCCACAGAAATCAAGTGCTCCTAATTTATTGTGTTTCTTTCCTTAGCTAAAACCAAGAATTCTTTTGGGTAGGACTGACTTGTGTATGATGACTTACTGTATTTCTTGGATTCACCAGCTTCCTCTTTCTCTAACAGATAGATGCATGTCTTTAAATTATCAATCAATTGAAAATTTAAATTATCAATCAATTTATATCATAATCAATCAATGCAGACACTGGTGTTCCAGATATTATGGATAAAATGTGAAGAATGACTATTTGAATTTTTGTTGCTAAGATGTCAACTGCAGAAAAGAAGTAATAATGGTGGGTGACCTCACCCTGTCTGTAGGAACCTGGTGCCTTTGTTACCAAATTTCCTTAACAGTTTTAATAGAGTGGAAGCTTCAGGCAAACTTTCTGCATGAAGGTTGTCACCTCTTCATTTTGGTTCCCATTTGCTGAGCTGTACCTTCTATGTGATAAGTAGAGTAGAAGGCATCATTAATTGGACAGGCACTCCTTTAATTTTATTGTTTGTGACCAATTTCAGATCCAACTACAGACCCAGTAAGAGGTGATGCATTTTTACAGAATTGCACCTGGCCCTTGTACTGAGGAGTTACCAGGGTGAAGTGGTAGTCCTGCAAAGGCCAGCATGGATAGAAATACAGCACACAGTTATGGGTTGTGCTACAATTCTCCATAGTGGCAACTCAAATGAACTAAATGAAATTGTAATTAACTGCAGTTAACTGAAAAACTGCCTGTGTAAAATAAAGTTTGTTTCATTAAAAGCTTCAGCTTTTGATCATATATTCCTAGATCACAATTTTTCTGTTATTTTGTCAGACCTATTTATTCTTGACATTAACAGAGTTATATTTCTTTTACTTCCTTCTCAGCAAGCAAATTTACCTAGGCAATAATTCATATTTCAATTTAGTGAATAACAGAGTGCATTTTGAGAAACACTGCCTTTTAAGAATTGCATCTGATCCAATAAACCAAATTATATAATAATAAAGTATGTCACTGATGTAAACAAATACCAGATGGGTTGTAAAACATTCAATTTTAGATCAGTGCAAATAGACTGAGATACACACTGCTGTAGTGTATTGTCAGTCACTAGTAAAGCTCAAAAAGGGATTCCCACTGCATGCCTGAATCCTGGAGGGTTCCACCTTCATGTTTGTTTTTCTCTTGCTTTAAGTCTCACTCTCTTTAGCCCCACTTGTTCCCCATTATTGCACTTTCAGACCCAGTGCTTGGCTGCTTTTCAAAGTGTGACAACACCAGCCAGCAAGGTTTTACCAATGAAAATCAGGTGTTCCTAGAGAAAGTGTTCCCAGGGAAAGGGTGTGGGCCCGTTGAGGTGTGGGCTCTGCAGAGTCTAGGATGTTGCTTTCTGTATTTTGGGAAGTGGGAGTGGGCTCATCTCTCACATTATTTTCCCACCCTGAAGGGATGGATGTTACTACCTGTAGCAGACCCAGCTTCCTCCAAGATGGATGGACATGGTGGCAGTTGGAATGAATGTTTTACTCTTCAGATATGAATACTTTCACAATAAGACTCTTTCAGTTGTGGTCAGTTTGAGATAAAGTTTAAAGTGTGTTTCCATTATTGATTGAGTTGTAGGTCTTTTTCCACACAGTTAAATTCCAGAGGCTGTTGTTCTGTATTTAAGATATCTGCTGGTGCTTCTGTAATAAAGTTTTCTAATTGTGTGACATGAACAATGCATGTTTCTAATAATTGACATTTTATCTTTAGATACATGGTCTAGTGGTGGACTTGGCAGTGTGAGGTTTTTGGTTGATCTTAAAGGTCATTTCCAACCTAAACAATTCTATGATCTGCTTATGTATCATATTCTGCGCTAGGTCAAATTTATAATAATATTGACATTTAAATTAGCATATGTCATTTAGCATTCTATCAGAAGGGGAAGTTAAGTATTGTATTTGGAGGATATCCAAATATCATTTGGATTTTTTGTGGCTTTATGTGGTTTTCTACATATGCCACCTAGATCTTCGTTTTCTTTGTTCATGTGATAAATCGGAGGTTTCTTAGTTCATGGAAACAGCTTTAGACCTTTTAAACCCTGCTTAATACTTGAACCTAAGGGCAGAAAATATAGTGGCAGATTTTTTGAAAAAAATTGACTTTAGGTGGTTCTCTTTACTCCAGATGGGATTTTGATAAAATCTGAACAAGAGAGTGTATTATTCCCAAAATCCAGAATAAAGGTTCATGAAACATTCTTCAAAATGTTTGTTCGAAATACTTCAGTTTACAAAAAATAGTTAAATAACACAATACAGGCAGATTTTCAGCAGATCTACAAGTACCATGTGTGAATTACGACCAATGATGGCTCACTCTTTATTATTAGCTAACAAATGCAGGTTGGATTATAGAAACAGAAATGCTTTCTCCTTCAAAATGTAGAGCTGGATTTTACTGGTAAAGAGGAAATTCAGCCAGGATAATTTAGCTAAGAAAGGTTTGTTTTCTTCTTATGAGTACTAAGCTTTTATTTGTGGATCTATCAGCCTATTTGACATTGCCAGGGGTGCCAAATTTGAGTTATCTTAGGTGCTGTAAAAAGCACAGAATGTGCCCATTTTAGCTGCCTGTTCAGGTAGAATTTACTTGTGTAAGAAATACTGAACTGGGGTAGGGTGACTTTAAGCATTCTTTAGGTGTTTTATGTATTAAAAAGTATAGTTAATTTATATAGATGAATTTCTGGCTGCAGGTTTCTATTTTCCTTGTTTTTCTTCTAAAGCGAACAGAAAATAACCACTTCAGGTCTGGAGATTCAGATTCTCCGTTTTCTCTGTGAGGCTTCTGAGTCTGACCTAACTTCTTTGTCAATACTTAATTAACACAGAGTTTTTTTAGTACATACCTTAAATTTTTAAGTGTATTTACTGAAATATTATCAAAAGCTTTGCACACAGTATGAAGTCTAGTTAGGTTCTTTATATTTAATGCATTAAAATCAAACCTTATCTACATATAGACACAGTACGCACATATACCAGAGGCTTGCAGATATGCCTAATCTTGATTGCATCCAAAAGTGTTCTTTCTAGAAGCAAATGCCTTCCAGCTGTGGGTATGAATTAGAATTGTGTTGCAGAAAACCAATATCTTATTTACAAGAAGTATAGTTTCTTGATTTCTTCTCCTGGGAATTAGTTTATATAAGAAAAACACCTGTCATCTCGTCTGACAGCTGATGACAGCATTAAGATCACTGAGTGACGAAGATGACAAGCTATCCATACACATCAACACATCAGGCTTTTATTACTGTCTTGGGCATGCAAGAAACTTGTATTAAGTGGTCTTTAACAAGGACTCATCCTGTTTGTCAGTTCTGTGACATTATTTTTATGAAGGAAGGGGTAATGACCCATGTCAGCTGAAGATGAGGAGATTGCAGTAGGTATTGCCTGTCTGTGTTCCATGAAGCTTGTCTGCAGAGATGGAAACAGATCAGAGGGCATGTTTTTTCATCAGAATTCCTGATGGGAATTAGGCAAGTTTATATGAAAATTCAAACATTGCTAGTCAGAAACTGATTGTTCAGACTTAGGAAAAAAATTACTCATGAAGAAACACAGATTTTATTTTTTTTTCCCCCTTAGATAAGGTGAATTATTGTAGTTTTTATCACTGTCATGTTTAACTACTATAACTTTACAACCATTCTCTATTGAATGGGGAAACTACTAAAAGCACTGTGGAAGCTTTCCTTCAGTGTGAAACTTGCCTTTCATGTATTCAAAAGTTTGGGGAAGTTCACCACTTTGTTTCAGTAAAGAAACATTATATTCTCTAGTAGTCTTCAATATCTCCTTCAGAAAAGATCTATGATCTATTCTTCATTAACTGGTAAAGTAAATGGAACTGGAATGTGTTGTATTGTCTTTCTTAAACATTTCATCCAGAAGATCTTGGCAAAAAGTGCTTTCTTATAGTGCCCTGCACTATATTTTTCCTTTTATTTTTTCCAGGACAAGTTAACAGTAAACTACCCTATTCCAGTTTCTGTATACAGCTAATGCTGAACTCCAAATTCTCCTATGGCACATTCCTGTGTTAAGGTTGGAGAATATTAAAAAATCCCTGCATTTTCCCAGAATTTTCCAGGGGATTTAGGGTCTTCCTAAAGAAATATTAAATACTAAAGGATTAGAATTAATTGAAACAGTAAAATTAGATTCCAGCCCCAAATCTAGATTTGTACTTTTCACTTACGTGCTCTGGTGAAGGAGAGGCTGATCTTTAGGAAAAAAAAAAAATGGACAGCCTGAGTTTATCACTAGAAAAACAGCCACAGAAATATTACTTTCTGTGATTTTTCTCATGCCTCCATGGAGAGACTTGGGCAGAAGCTGCAAATGCAGTTTCTTGCTACTCCTTTTTTCATACATGAATCTTGACCATATGCTCTGAGTGGGTTTGAAATCACTTAGATTTGATTTTTTGCTTATGTTTGTTGTTATGCAGTAATTCATAGCACTGAAAACAGGTTTTAAAGAAAACAGTGCAGTAGGTAGTGGAGAAATATTTCAAAACTGTGTTTTTAATATATTGCTTAATCTATATGGTGACTAGCATATTTGTTTGGTTTTTAATGCATTCTCATTGTTTACCCATATTTGCCTCATCATTTCATGTTGCCAATAGTTGGTCAATGTTACTGTTTTGCATTTAAGGAAATTTTGATGGTATTTTAAATGTTACATATTCTTATATTTTTCTGGTTTTATTAATATAAAAATTTCTTTTTTTTCCCTCTAGAAAGGTCCTAAAGGAAATCTCTGTTGGAAACCTAAAGCCTAATGAAACAGTTGAAGCAAATCTGGAAGCACAGCTACTCTCCAAATTAGACCATCCAGCCATTGTCAAATTTTATGCAAGCTTTGTGGAGCGAGATAGTTTCTGCATTATCACTGAGTATTGTGAGGTGAGACTGAAGAAATTTGAAAAAAGTGTGTATTTAAATAGGGTCTTCTAAGAAGCCATTTTATAAAATGTTTTAGTTTGAATTTTAGTCTTTATTTGTTGCTTGTGGCATCACCTGCTACTTGTTAGGTGTGTTCCTTTCAGATAAGGAGTGTTACCTGCTCATGTGAGACTCATAAACACACCGCAGAAGAAGAAATAGGTAATTTTACGTGCAAGATCATTTGGGATTACAAGTGCTACAAGAAAGGCTTAAATGCAGACACACTGCCAGATCTGTGGGATAGCTCAGAAAGGTTGTACCACTTGTGTGTGATGTGCGACTGATAGGTGAGAGAGGATGAGATTGTGGGTGTGGGGGCATGATATTAAATCTAATATAAATGAGGAAGGGAAAACTCACTTGTGATTTGGAGTTGGTTACAAGAAGCTTAAGCCTGATCACATGGATGATGAGTTTGGCAGTAACATTGGCTTTATAAAATGAAAATCAGTGTGAGTCAAAGACCAGAGTGTAGTGGATACAACAAATATTAAAGCAGGATGTTCTACCATATAGTTACCATTAAAGTTTTGACTCCAGCATTTGATTTAAGAACATATTGCTGGAATCTGTCTTTAAGCTTTCAAATAAGAATTTAAGAATATTTAAGCCATTTTTTTAGTAGTTTATATAAAATAAGTGCCTACTTTGTATTAAATACAGATGTGCTCTTTCAAAAAAAATTGTCATACAAAAAGTGATCTTTTTATGAAACTGTGAAGCAAACTCTTCAGTTGTGCTCTGCTAGACATGATGAAATCTTCTTTGGAAGATAATGAACTTAGACTACTGGGCTACAGGTACACAAATCAGATTTGACTTAACTAATCACACTTCTTCAAGAATTTAGCTTTCATGGGAATAATTAAACAAGTACCATTCCTGTTCTTTATTTCTTCCTTGGAAGCTTTCTTTGGTGACATATAAATGCAAATTTATTGCTGGGTTATTTAAAAATTAAAGCTGAAATGTTCAGTTCCGTGATACAGTCTGAGTATTTGCTCACATACTATTTTAACACCCATGCAGAAGCTTTTTGTGCCATTCCTTGAATGTCTGACAGCTGTGGTTTGAGAATATTGTCAACTCTTTGAGGAAATCTGGAGCTCAGGACTGAAGGATTATTCTAAATGTCCAGCTATTCCCATGCACTCATAATTATCTCTCTACCAGCAGTACGAAGTGGCCCAGTACAGATCAGTTAAACATGTAGGAATAAAGGAGCCTATTTCAGCAGCACTATAGTGTCTTTTATCTATCCACTGCTTTTCACTCTTTTTTTTTTTTTTTTTATTACTCCTTGGAGGTTTGGGGTTTTTTTATGCAGGCAGTATAAACTACCCTGAATGAAAATGTTTTGGTACAGTTGCCTTAGGATCTGGGAGTCACATCCTCAAACAGGTGAGAATGTATTACAGCAAGGAAGAGGAAATGGATTCATTGGCTATGCGCTGAATCTTTTCAGTTTTGAGTTTTGAGTCTGCTAGGTGAGGTCAGGATGATACTTGATCCAATAGGATGTGCTTCTGACTTATTCCCAAAGGACATGTTCTGTGCATGTTGCATTTAAGTCATTACAACATATTTCCTCGAATGTTCAGGCAAGGAAAAATACAAAGCAAAGTTGCGCACAGTGCTATGAGGTTTCTTTTCTGTTTTAGTCGGGGTATTTCCAGAAGGTATATTTTTGTATTTGCTTATCTATAGCCCGCCTTTGTATGTGGTGGGATTTGGGTGTTTTGACCTAAAAGATGCCAGTTTAAACCGTGCATAAGTTGAGAATGAGAAAAATGTGCTACCTGATCCTTGCTTGGAAGTGTAGTGTGTTCAGTTTCTCATGCATAGAATAATTACCAGATTGGCAGTAATTGCTACTCTTGGGCAGACTCAAAACAAAGAGCACATATTTAAGTTGGCATGGAAACGGAACTACCCCCCTGAGCTTTATTCTGTTTTCTCCAAAGTACTGTGCCTTATTCATTAGCCACAGTGCTTTGTTCATTCTGGCGTGAGTAGCATAGAGTGAGCCTCCAGCGCAGCTGCCCCGTGCTATACCTTGTCCTGTGAAAGAAAAACAGAGAACATTGGTCTCCATGGCTCAGCTTGACATCTTTTATTACAACTGAATTAAATCAAAATTATAGAAAGGTATATTTGTTCTGTTTTGATCTTACTTGTTGAGCTTCTTAGACACTTTCCCCAAATCAGAATCTTATAGGTAGTATAAACATTATCAGCTAAGACTGATTTCAAACCAAATTGCCTTAATGAACCTTGAATTTAATTTTGTAGTACAAATTTGACTTCAATAAAACACAGTTTTTACAAAGCAGTTACTTCAAAAATTGCATCATTTTAATGTATTATAAAGCAGAACTCATTGTACTGTTCCCCCAGACAATTATTTATTTCTCTTGACTGTGGTCTCAGCTGTGATGTGAGTACACATATGCTAAGGAAATCTGAGTGAAAGGAATAACTAAAGCAGTCAATGCCTGTTCACGTTATCAGCTCTAGATGCTAAGCTGTTTTAAATAATTTACTGGTGTGCTTGTTACTCTGATATTTAAATAGCAACTGCAGCTTGGAAACTCCATAGGTACTTAATTTGTTAAATTGTTGAATTCCTTATGAACTTCAGTAGACTGACCTTCCAAAATGTGAAATTGGGTTAACAAATTTTTTCAGAGTTTCACAGCAGCAGTATTTCAGCAAATCTTTTATGATGTGTTTTTGTTTTCCTTTTTTTAGACACAAAATCAAGGGTAAATTAATTGTAGGACATTGAGACCACTTTTCCCTGCTTGAAGGTAATAAGCTGTACACTTATGTGAAGGCGCCTGTAGTGCATTATTCAACTGCTTTTGTTTTCCTTAGACCTTTTTCAGGAGTTGTCCCTCAGCCTCAGAGTATTCACTGCCCTAGCTCTGTAGGTGCTGCACTTACTTTATTTTGCCTTTTTCATGGCAATGTGTTACTGTGAGAGGGGACACATTGGGACAGGGAGAAACGGTGACTGGAGCCTGCTGCACTTCATCTGTCCTCACCTGGATAGTACACAGTCCCCTGAAGCAAATAGCCAGCAGCCAGCTGACACATGTTTGAGCATCCCCTCAGTCCTGGGCTCTGGATGATCTGGGGCATCTGTCTAGAACAGTTTATTTTATAATAATGACTCATTGTTTTCGAGGTGCGTGAGTAGATTCAGTCGCAGCCCATCTGGCTGCCACACAATGGAGTACCCAGCAACTATTTTTCTTTCCTTCCTCTTCTCTGCTGCAAGCAACCATGGGGAAGCTGCTGAACATTTGGAGTTGCAAAGGGGAAGCAGCTGCTTAGAGTTCCACGTTCCCAGAAGAGCTTCTCTCTGGGCTGCAGTAGGGCAGCAGATGGAGAGCTGAGCCCATATTCCCTTCTCTAGTGTATGAGATGATTCAGACATTTCAATTAAAAAATTGCAGGACATTGTAGGGAACACATTTTTGATAGAGGATGAAACAGATTTGCTTTGTTTTAACATACTTTTGAATGCTGTAACTTAGAACCAGAAAGGCCATAGAAATTACTGTAAACTTATGTCAGAAGCACATGAATATATAGTTCTGCAAGGACAGAATCTGCTTATTTTGTAGCATCACTATGAAGCACTGTGGTGCTGGGAACAGAAAAAACAAGAAATGCTGAAGACATCATAAAATGGTGAGAGTCAACAGTGAGGAGGAATAAAGGGATGATGATGGGAAATGATGGTACTGGTACAGCTGTACAGGCAAAATAGTTCCTTGTATATGGCACATAAAACTTCTGATTTTATGTAGAATGTATAATGTAAAAGTAATGATTTATGGCTAATGAGCTTTTCTGATGTAAGGTAATTAGTCACTAGAATGTAATTAGACTCACAGTCCCTTTGCTCTGGGGTTAGTTACTTCAACACATTGCTTACTATTAATGTGTGTGCATTCTTCTATATAAAATTATTTTTTTTTATAAACTGGATAAACAATCTAGATTACAGTTTTCAAGTAGTCTTTTTCTGGTTTATTGGCATTCTCTTGTGTATGTCCTATTGTTCCATTCCAAGTGCTACTTCAAGATCAGTTGTTGATTTAATGAAGTATCACATGCTACATATTCTTGAGGCTTTAAATCTGCTTTGTTTCTGACAAAAGTTTGAAAGAAAGAAAAGTATCATAATTAAAGAGACTGTATTGTAATTCTCAAGAGAACAACATGGTTTCTTTGATGTTGACATAGTTATTATAACATAATAAATGAGTGTCGCCTGAGTGTGTGCTTGAGTGTCGCTTGACTGTGGAGTGGAAATGCTTTTCTCAAATTAATTAACTTATTCAGACTGATCAGGGTAGATTAATTTGACCTACCTAAATATCTATATTATAGCCTGTCAATGTAGGCCCTCATCATAAATCTCTGCAGAGAAAGTGATTCTACAGCATGATCCATCACTTCCAAAGGCAGACAACTAGATGACAGAGATAATTGCACTAAACAGGTGTGTGTTCCTTTGTGTTGACTATAAAGGTTTGGGGTGACCAGCTCAGTTGCTGAAGTTGGGTGACGTGAAGGAAGAACTTTGGTGATCTTGTGTAACACTAAGAGAAAACTACAAAGCCAGAGTGGTTGATACCATTTTCTTCCTCACTTGTGTATGCTTTTGGTGCTGGGAGAGTTCAGAATTCAGAATATGTTGATTTTACAGACCATGATTTTACATGATGGGATGCCTCAAAGCCTAAGGAAGTAGGGTCCTGTATGATGATGAAGGAAATAGCATTTTGAAAACTTTCTGTAAGTGTGCAAATATGTTGTGATATTTTTCAGGGTGGAGATCTAGACTTTAAAATTCAAGAGTACAAAGATTCTGGGAAGATGTTCACTCAAAGCCAAGTTATAGACTGGTTTATACAGTTATTACTCGGAGTCAACTATATGCATGAAAGGTACAGTCATTTGATACGAGAGCATTTAGCTTGGGAGGGGAGTGAATGGGCTTATTGACTAGTTGGTGGTATTCAAACAGAAATGAAAGTTCTGATCACCAAACTATTGTAAGTTTATGTCAGATACCTCAAGTGTAATTAATTATCTACCCTGCAGGAACATTGTGCATTACATCTTTTAGCAGGACAGTGGTAAATGTCTTCCAGCTTTAGACACACTTTTTTTCAGAGCCAAATGGAAAATGGAGTACAGAAGAAATAGTTCAATATTGCTAGAAGAAAATGGATTAAAAGGCTAAAACAAAGTAATCTTTTTAAAGGGGAGTCAAGAAGCATGTCCTGAACATGTTTAATGTGAAGCATCCAATATATATTCTTGATAGACTCTCAGTAAAGTCAGTGGAGTTACATACATGCATTCTTTGAAAAGAGATGTCACTTTTAACATCACATCAAAGACTGACTTAAAAAATTACTACAGGTAATCCAGATATGAGGAGATCACACATGGCTGGAGCAGGGGCAGTGTATGTAGATGAATACCTACCTGGTCATCCACATGAGTGTAGCTCTTGTCTGCAGTGTGATTTAGGCAGGCTGACTGCAGTGATGGAAAGATTTCCCTTACTACCAGTGTGCTGGACATGTACAATGCCTGTCTGGTCCCTTTCTGCATCATCCTTTGCAGGGCTTGGGCAAAATTTGCTTGCCTGAATTTTAGGTGTACCCAAGCAGTAGGTAGAGAAGTCACCTGTTGTCAAGAACAACCACTCCTTAATTGAGCTGAAGTTAAGTGTGTGGGATGTGTTTGACCTAAACTGATGGATGTCTAATGAGTTTTTGCCAGTGTCAGACTGTTGAGGGGAAAAGGGCAGAGTGAATTGCTGCCCAAGATGCAGGAGCATTTTTGTTCCTAAATGCCAATTTATCTAGGGCTTCTACATGAAATGCTGCCCTGCCAGTGAAGGGAGGACACAAAGAGAACTCTCTTGGGCTGCTGTGCTCTTCAGCATTCACCTCAGGCCAAAAGGACAGAGGGAAGTGGAAATAAAAATCCTGACAGTTTAACTAAACTATCAGTGTGACTTAGGGTTTTTTTTTTTCTCTCTTGAACTTCAGTTTAACAACTTACCATTAAAAGTTTTGGTGCCCTGGAAAGTCCCCTTTTGGCAAAATCCTTTCTTTAATATACGTGTTTAGAAGATGCATTGTGCAGAATAATGCAGCATAATAATATAAACATTGTGTTTGGGCTGATGGTCACTGTAGGCCCCTTCCAACTGAACAGCTTTATTTTATTCTGTGAGTTATTCTTTTTGTCTTTAATTTTCTGAATTTTCTTATGCCTCTTTTCTCTCTATTTTACTCATCTTCTACTTGTTCTCAAACAAATGTTTAAAACCAAATAATATCCTAAAAATAAACTTTAATTGGTTGTATATAAAATTTGGTTTCCTGAGAAGTCAGTTAATTCTCCAGTTAAAGCAATTCGATTTTCCAAATAGGATTTTATTTTCTCCTTTTCAGTCATAGCTAATAGTACCTCTCCAGACACTTACAAATAACTTGACAGTTTCAATTTTTATATATTTATTTGTATTTTGTGTTATTAGGCTGTATGTACATTATGAAATATAACCTTTTCCTTATTAGTATAGAGTCAAACAATAGCTTAAGTGGAAAAGATTAGGCTTAAAAGAATTTAAAACTACCTACACAAATTTGAAATACTAAAACATAATAATAACCCTCTGTTTCTGTATAGAGGAGTCATGCATGATTTCTTCTCTACTGACATGGAAAAAAGCTGTAATACATGTTTGAATTATGTTCTAATGCAAAGGAAGCTTTTCTCTAGAATTAGAAGCTTGAAGTGTTTACAGCCTGTGGGTTGGTCCTTCCCCATGACATTCTTAAGAAAACTCAGCTTCTGTGGATGTGAGTTTTTTTTGCCAGAGCAGTAAAAATTATTATTTATGGTTTTAAACAGACTATTCACTTGTCCTTCTTGCACAACTTTGGTTGAACTTATACACTTTTTGAAAACTCTTATGCTGGAAACTTAATGTAATTTTTTTTAATTTGAAACTTGAAAACAAAATTATCTAGAAATAAACAGATTCAATCCTTATCTGTCTTTGTTATAAAGAAAGGGAGAAGTAAAGGGAGACACCATAAGAGCGGTCTTATCTTCACAGAGACCTTTAGCATGAAACCATCCTGTAGTCTCTCGTGTTACACATAGCCCATTGCATGTCAGTGCACAAAATTAATCCCACAGCAATCAGGCAATGATGCCATTGATTAATTTAACCTCAATTTGAATAAGGCTGACCATTATGTTACCCATAATTTTGCTAATCATTATGAAAAATTTATGAGCACACATTTTTATAAGGTTATTCTTTGTGCAAACAGCAGATAATACATGGTTCAGACTTACACAGAACCTCTTACTCTTCTTCAGAGTTCTTCAGATAGAGGAAAGAGAAATTAATTATGTGTTATTTCACAGCAATAATATACTTCTGCTTCCCTCAGCTTCACTTGCAGCGCATTCTGTTGCAGGCAAAGATTCATTCAAGGAGGCTGCCCACTGCTCTGGGCTTGTCCTGTTCTTTTATGACTATGAGCCAGCAAGCAGGTACTCTACAGAACATAGGTATGGGTATATTTACAGCCCAGATTTGGAACTGTCCTTACATGTTAATTTCTACCCAAATTAGCCACTCAATAACCACTTCACTGTCCATCAAGTAAAGTTTTGATAGAGCCCAGTTAATTCGTGTTGTCTTTATAGGTCTGTCTTTTCCTACAATAAAGAAGTTGTTCTCTTTCTTTAACTGGATTTACAGTGCAGTCCTGGTATTAATTTCTTACTAGTATTAAAGAATTCTTTTCAGGCAGGATTTCAGCTGATATCTTGTTTATCTTCAGACATATCATAGCAGAATAATTTGCATTGCATTGAGAGATATCATGTAAAGCTGAAAAAAAATTCCCAAATATTTCCTTGTCGTATTAATATATGAAAGCATCTTATAATTACTGGTAATGCAGATAATGAATATTCATCAATATGTTGCAAGATTACAGTAGCATTACATTGGAATTCAAACTAATGTGATGCAAACATCTTTTTTTCATCTCCTTTTCAAATAATATGCTACTGAAAGCTTTCTGGATCATTCTTTAACTTCAAGATACCTGTTATTAAAGAAGTTGATAGTCAGAAAAGTTTCAGGTTCAAAAATTCTGTGGTTATATTTCTACAAAGGAGTGTGATTAAAAGAAGGTTGAAATCCACCAATTCTCAGCAGCAATGTACAAGAATAAGTTACCTCAGTGAAAGCAAGTTCTTTCAAAGGATCTGTGTGATGAATGGTAAGAAAATTCCTTATGAATCTCAATTAACACAGCAAGATTTCTATAAAAGTGTGTGTGTGTACATACAGACATATATATACTTACGAAGGAATAGCAAATATCACCTTAGTTTAATTTCCTTACTGATGTATTGTATGAGTGTATGTCTATTGCTCACAGAAGTTGTCAAATAGAGAACAAATTATTTATAAACAATATTTTATAAACATGAGTGGAGGCATATGAATAAATATTTTATATAAATATATGAACAAAATTTCATTTTTCCCAATGCGAAAAACCTTTTTCTAATGAAATTAAAGGCATTACTTTCAGGACAAAAAAATTGAAAGAAAAAGAAGTGAAAACCAATTGCTATAAGACACATGAAGAACTCTTTTCCTTGACCCATAAAAATAGAAATGTTTCTTTTTCATGCCCAGTCTATGTACATACTGCAATGAATTCTACTATTATTTTTCATATTTTTTCCCCATTTGCGAACTGAGTATATTGAATTGCATATTTTTTTCTCGTCTTGCAAAAAATATTTTCAAATGACTTGTGGACAAAATTGGGTATTTAAGCTGCAGAATGCATATTTTATAATCTTAATATATAAACTGTTTTGGAAATAATTTCATTATGTCAATGCCTAAGACTTTAATAATTCAAATTTGAGATAATACTTGAGGATTGCACAAAAAAATCAAAATTGAGTATTATATTTATTTTATCTGCCCTCAAAAATCTCAAAGCATCACTTTCTTTCTTTACATGATCTATTTGGCTGAATGACTACTGTATTTGTATTAGCAAATACAGTTTCTGCAGCCAGTATGTACCAAATGTTATTCTAACCTCCTCCTGAGCAGAGCTAATGATTAATCCTGTGTGTTAATAATAATTTCAAAAGTGGATGAATTCTAGTTTGGGTGAGGCTATAGGCAACAATGCTTTTGGAAGTGTTATTAACAAGAATTAATTGAGAATATGTTTTGTATACCGCAGAGATACTTTGTTTTCCTAAGGGACTGTAGAATTACTGTCACACATGTAAGACTTATAGAAATTAAGAAGATTCTGTATATCCTTACATGGTGTGTAGCTTATAATGCTTTTTTTTCAAACTCTCATGGAAAAATAAGTCTGTAGAAGCTAATTGTTCTGTTCCTTTTCCTTTTCATCTTTGTAAAGTTCTTCCATCTTCCATGCTGTTACTGTAAAAAATTGAACTACTAGCTTACGCTATATACATATTTGTCTTTGAAGTAATACTTTTACTCTGTAGGAGTCTTCCTATAGCTTTGAGTATTTTATGCTTTTTTATGCCTCTTGTGAGGCATCTCATTCTGCTGGCAGAAAATAAGATGTAATGCTTTTCAGACGAGTCAGATAGGAAGACTTGCCTTTCTCTCTTCCTCTGCAGCATGTGCTATGTCTGTATCTATGTTCTTAAGCTGGGATCCCCAGGTATGTTTTTATTATCCTGCTTAGGCTCTCACCCTGCATGTGGGTGCCTGTGAATGCACCTCTGTGAAGCTCCTTAATGCCTCAGTGCCATGGATTGTCACTGGCAGAGTTAGACTGTAGCAGTGGTGGGCTGGCCTTTCTGAAAAGGGATGAAGTTAAATGCCTGAAATACTTAATACACAGCTCTGAATGCTTCGAGTTGGATGAGGTTGAATTTCCTTTTCTATTCCAGACGGATACTTCACAGGGATTTGAAAACCAAGAATATATTTTTGAAAGATAATCTTCTTAAAATTGGTGAGATTTCTATACTTGTTAAATATATATTTTCATGTGATAGAACAGTCCAGCAGACATTTTGTCAATAAGGAGATTTAAAGAAAATTGTGTCCGAAATAGCATTTTGATTTGTAGTCAAACATTTATTTGACAGTTAGACACAGGAGAGGCAGTGAAATCTTTAGCATTGAGGGTGCTTCAAGCTTGGCTGGGCCTGGACCTGAGCAGCCCCATTTAACTTTGAGCCAGGGGTTTGAATCAGATGACCTTGTGAAGCCTCTTCAAAGACACATTGTTCTGTGATATTGTGCTTGTGTGGTGTTTTTATTTTGAAGAACTGCAGAAAATAGTTTTTCCCATTTTTTAAAATACTAGCAGAATTTTCTGGATGTACAGTCACTTTATCATATCTGACAATAAACAAAAAAGTTTATATTAATAGATACATGTTAATATTAATAGATTATTGTTTCTACTGGTATTTTTAGGAGACTTTGGAGTTTCTTGTCTTTTGATGGGTTCATGTGATCTTGCAACTACTTTTACTGGGACACCACACTGCATGAGTCCAGAAGTACTGAAGCACCAGGGATATAATACAAAATCTGACATTTGGTGAGTAGTTATAATGCTATTTTGGTTGGATTAGGCATTTATCTCCACTAAAATTATTTCAGGACATTAGAATCAAATGTTGCAATTTGAAGCCTTGCCCTTTTTGTTAAGAAGCATGTAGTTGACTTTTATTCTAGGTTATCTGAGACTTTAAAGGAGAATAAGATTCAGGTCCAGTCTCTGATGTGGTACAGGATGACTGTAGACAAAGTTCAGGTTTTTCTAGAAAGGGGGAAGTCTCTTTTTTTCTCATATTGAGATAGATGAATTGAAAAAAAGCAACTTTCTGTGAAACTTTAGATGGATGAGCAAAGAGTGATTCTGGCTGAGAGGATAGAAGGACCTTCTTAGGAACTAAATTTAAAAACATTGGCAAATGTTAAAAGCAAGAAAGTATTTGGAAGTGGAGCTGAAAATGAGAATAACTGCAGTGTTAGAACAGAAACAAAAAGGCACTCTGTTTTAGAAGTGACTCAAAGGTAGAAAGAAAAGTATTGGTTCTGCATTTAGATGGCACAAATTCCTGAAATCAGGACTTCTGATGTGATGATTAAAGGATCAAGTTTAGGAGCTGAGGTCTGTTGAAAGACTTTAGGAAACTTGTGGGTGTGCAGGTACTCTTCCAAACTAAGATGAAGAATGATTTTTTTGTAATGGCAAAAATATCTGGATTGTTTATATGTGTGTCTTAAAGCATTTCATGGTTTAAGATTATAGTTAAAAGTGTTGAGTTTTTAAATTTTGTCATAGTATTTTATTTAAGGGGCTTTGTTTCTTTTATGAGGTGTTTTGTTGTTTGTTGTTTTTTTTTCCTGTAGGTATATGTATCAGAAGATTAATTGTTAAATAAGTATTTCAAACCAGGAAAGTTTCTTTGTAAAACATTTGGATTATAGTTTGATTGCTTGATAATTTACTCTAGCTTTGTCTCAGTTCTGCCTTTTCAAAATATACTTGTGGCTGCGGGATATAATTCTAAAAGTGGAGGACAGCCATCTATATTTTCAAATGGTAGCAACCATTTTTCACAGTTGACATATTCAGTCCAGTCAACAGATATGTCAGGAATCTCATCTCATGGCCTGTGTGGCTGACTGCTATGGATTTGATGTCAGATTCTTTCTTGTTCCTCTGTAGCAAATATCAGCTAATACATGTAGTCAATAAAAATATTTTGGGAGAAGATTTCAAAAGATGTCAAAACAAATGAAAAGGCAGGGAAGCCTGCCTTTTGTGCTCTTCTACTCCAAGGAATAATTTCTTTTTTTGCAGTGCAAATAGGAAGTAAAATACATGTTTAAGTTCTATTTGTGGTTACTAGTGTCAATCCATATAGGTCATTGAAGCTGTATAGAGTAAGCATAGTCAGAGTTCGATCCAATAGTTTTATAAATCATGTGTTGATCACCATTCACAATTTACAAAAACACAGAAAGAAATCTCCCCATCCCAAACTCAGTAGCTACCAGCTTTCTGCTATACTTTCTGCCTCTTGTGATCTTTCCAAAGCATTACCAAATACACTCACCTGAGGGTGAAACTGCCTTCAGCAGGAGCTTCTTGGCCCTCATTGTAGTGGCACTAAGGAGGAGGTGTGCCCTGATCAGTACTTCCTCAGCCCACAAACCTGTTCTTTTTTTGAACTCATTCTTTTTTTTGATCAGGACTCATGTGTTTGATTGATACTCACGTCTTTTAATCTTTTAATAATGATTCTTTGAATCATTAATAATGATTCTTCCAATGATTCTTGCTTCTTTTCCCCACTATCCCCATTTAACAAAAGACAAGAGGTCACTGAGCATACAGGGGAGCCCACCCTGGAGGCTCCAGATAATATTAAGTCCTTGGGCCACTGTGCAGGAAGTTTGGTTGCTCATGAAGGATCAAAGACTCATAGGATGGTTTGGTTGGAAGGATAAAGATCATCTTGTTCCCACCCCCCTGCTGTGAGCAGGGCCATCTACTAGGTGAGGTTGCTCAAAGTCTGAGGTTGCTCTAGCCTGGCCTTGAACTCTCTCTCAGCTTGAAGTTGTTACTCCTTCTCCTATCATTACATGCCTTTTTACAAAGTCTCTCGCTGTCTTTCTCTGTGGCTCTCGCTCACTTTATGTGCTGGAGGGTGCTCAAGGGTCTCCCTGGAGCCTTCTCCAGGCTGAACAGCCCCAACTCTCTCATGGAAGGGGTGTTCCAGTCCTCAGGTCCTCTTTGTGTGCCTCCTCTGGACTTGCCTCAACAGGTCTGCATCCTTCTCATCTTGGGAGCCTGGATACAGTACTCCATGTGAGGTCTCAGAATAATGGAGTAGAGGGAAGAATCTTGTTCCTCAGCCTGCTGCTCACACTGCTTCTGATGCAGCCCAGGATGTGGATGGCTTTCTGAGCTGTCAGCACACGTTGCCAATCACATTGAGCTTTTCATCATGCAAGTCCTTCTCCTCAGGCCTGCTTTCAATCCATTCTCTGGCCAGTCTGCATTTGTCACCTAAGTGCAGGACCTTACAATTTGCCTTGTATTCCATAAGGTTGGAATGAGCCCATCTCTCAAGTCTGCCAAGATCCCTCTGGATGTCGCCCTCCAGCATGTCAACCATACCACACAGCTTGTCAGCAAACTTGCTGAGGCTACACTCAGTCCCTCTGTCCATGTTGCTGACAGAGATGTTAAACAGCACTGTTTGTTGACCCCTGAGGAATTTCAAGGAGTTGCCCAAGTCTTTTATATGGAGCTGAAGTGACATTCTCTCTTCAGACTTGTTTTTCTGATCTCTAGCAGGACTCAAAAATTCACACACAAAAATTCAGACTTGCAAGTGTTCCCATGTTAAATGTAAGATAATGTAAAATATCTTCTGGAAAAAACAATTAGTGTTGTCTCACCTTGTTATCATGATCCATTCACTATTCAGTTCAGTTCATTGGAAAGACCTTAATTTATGCTGCATTAATGATGTGCTCTAAAGAGATGCTGTGCTTTTCAGGTTCACTGAAACATTCTGTACTGGCTTTTCAAAACTGGCTTGAATATTCACAGTGCAGCAGCTGATGCAAGAAGTATTGTTCTTTATAGCCGAAGGTAAATAGATGGGGAAAAAACTTAATATTTTACAGTTTCTCCCTATGGAAGTTCTGCAGTTAGGCTCAGAGAAGTGGCAGCATTTATGTTTTTCTTCAGTTGAAATGTCAGGGCTGGAGTTCTTTGCCATTCCATGCTTTATGTCAAATCTAAATCCACAGGAGACAAATTAAAGTTGGCTCACATGTTTTCCCCAGCATCCCTGAGCCTGGACTGGCTGGGCCATGAGAGAAAACCTTTGCAGATGACACAGTCTGGGGTTTCCTCCTTTCCAGATAAGAAGCTTCTTCAGGGAGCTGATCTCAGTTAGGCAGTTCACGACCCCTTCTTCCTGTCGGTGCTTCCCAGATCCAGCAGGGAGAGGAGTCAAAGAGCCCAGGAGGCCAGGCCAGGTCAGGGGTCAGTCAGTGATGGGTGTGTGGGCAATTGGGCTCCCTGATAGCCCAGCGCAGCGTGACCCCGAGGCGCTGCTGTGCCACTGTCCTGCTGTCCCTTCCTGCCCTCACACAGCCTGTGGTGACACTGATGCTGTTGGGGCTCAGCCGACATTCCCACGCCTCTAGTGCTGTGGCAGAGACAAAGCAATGTCACGACCACATGTAAACCCGTTGTACTCTGTCTTCCATCAAGAGCTGTCAGATTTTGACAGATGGTTTGTCTGTTGTGTTTGGCTAAATTGGACTGCTCACACCACAGATCTGGAGGCTTTCATTTTATTATGCTTGCTTGTCTGTGCTTTCCTTCCTCTTTGTCTTTTTCTTTCGTATTAGCAATCAAAAAATGAAGCAATGAGAAGGCTGAGGGGATGGGGCTGGGGAAGACAGCAGCGGGGAGTTCTCATTTAAGGGCTGATGAGTGAGTATTGAGGAAATTAAATTCAGGGACACATTCCTCACAGACTCTGAAGCCAATGAATTCATAAGACCTTATGATATGATCAGAATAAGAGATATGAGCCATAAAGGTATATGCATTTACATTATCTGACTTTTGAAGTTGAATTTAAAGCTAACTTGGATCTTAGAACCTTTGAAGAACTGTAATTTGTTTTACAAAAGATCAGAAGATGTTAAAAAGATGACAATATTTATGTAAGCAACATCAAAAACCTCAGGGTGGTTTTTCCTTAGAGGGAGAAGTTAGTGGTCTGTCAGTTGAGACTGGGGAGAACACACTGAAGCTTGTCTAGATGCTCCATTTTATGATGTAATCAAGCACAAGTAGCTTCAACATGAACTGGTCATGCCCAAATTTTGCTGAAATTATGTGCTGTTCAGGAACTTTGTCAAACCTATTCATGAATATAGGGATTTGTCAAACCAAGTGTGCTGGCTGGCTGGTTTAATGACCATTCTAGAATTTCATAACATTGGAACTTATTCAGGCTAAGATTATAAAAGTAATTAAATTATATGTTTGGATTGTGTGCAGATTGCTTACGGGAACTGGGAAGCAATTTCCTCTTGCTCCTCACGAGGTGCTCAGACCAGAAATGTAGAAACTGAGAAACAATGAGAAACAATGTTGAAGCAACTGAGAAAGGCAGTTTTGAGCCAAAAGCTTGTCTGTTTCTTCTTTAGGTGTTTGCAGCTCAGCAACTCTCTTGGGAGGAAGAAATAGCCTTATTCAGGAATCCAGGGCAGCATTTCTCAGTTTAGGAGATATTTATGTTATTTCAAAGATTTTGATCCTGCAGAAGGAAACTTTATTCTTTTTCCTTAATTTTTCTTTACTTTTTTCCCTGATTTTTTTCTTTCATGGAAAAGATGGGATTTTCCCTGGTAGCCTGTTCACAGCCCTGGCTACAGCAGAATGCGCTGGGCACTCTTTTCATCTTTCTCCACCTCAGTTGTAGTCAGAGCACTAAACTAGATGAATAAATCAGCTTGCCTGATGTGTCAAATCCTGTGTTCCTAATGGCTCATTAAACAATTTCTAGCTGCCAGAATCAAGCAGCTTCCAAAACAGATTGATTCTGCAAAAAGAAGTTATAGTACAGTGTGTCAGGTTGGGATTTTCCTTCTTTTTTTCTTCTCTCTGGCTGATTTCCATTTTTATTTGATGCTTTCAGATGCTGTGTGCATAGGGGTTTTTTTGTTGTTCTTTTTGCTTTAAGTATTTTCTCATGTAGTAATTATCTTGTTTCAGAGTCTGAACATACATCATAAATACAGATTATCATCTGTGTATTGCTGTTTACCTATTTTTAAAGTTTGAAAGCTGTTTGACTGTTTAATCTTTAACTATTTATTTACCTCAGTAGTTGTTCTTTAGCTGATTCTTAGCAAAAATGCTCTGCTAATGGTTTTGACATACTTGCTTGAAAAGTACCAGTGAGTGGAGTCCCACCCATTCTCTCTCTTCTTCCTTATTTGCACTGAATGTAGGCCCTTGGTTTCGGCTTTAAAATTATTTGCTCTTGTTTTTTTTATTGCTAGATGTGCCTCAACTCCTCTTCTTTAACCAAAATGAATAATTGAAACTTTATTCATTATTTGCTTTCAAAGATTTTTATACCCCTTTCCTGAAAGCCATTTACCCATACATATTTCTTATCATTACTGTTATAAATGCAAAGGCAGATTTGGGTTAAATAAAAACAATTTATTATAAAACAATTTCTATAAAAAAATAAACAATGAGGAAAAACCACAATAAAACAAACAGCGCAGCGCTGGGTGGACAGGGGTCTATACCCAAAGGTATAGGTGTTCCCAAATCCACGAAGGAGGGTAGACTGTCCGGGGTTTTTATAGGGATTTTTAGCCTTGAGGCCAAATTCCAGGCAGGCACCATTCATCAACGGTCCTTGATTGTTGTATGAATTGATTTCCTGGCGTTGGAGAATAGAGTCAAATGGACATCCGGACCGAGTCTCCTCATATGTAAAGAAGTTCTGGGTGGTTCTTGATTTCATTGTGGTTCAGGCCATCTGGATGGGATGGTTGGATCCGGGTTGGAGCTGATGGATATCTCGGCTGGATTTTTCCTTTTGTCTACCTGATGGCTTCCCCCAACGGTAGCCTGCAAGGCGGGGTTCATCGGAGCCTCTCCTTGTTGGCTTGATGTTTCGTGTCCTGTCTATTCTTTCCCGTTGATGGGCACCGAGCCTGTCCCTGTCAGCTTGATGAGCCTTGTCCTGTCTATTCTTTTTCGTTGATGGGCGCCGGCTAGGATCGTTATCCTTTGAGTGGGAATTCGTGGCTAGATCTGGGAAGGGCTTGTGTGCCATACTGTACTTTATATTTTATATCATATACATTTATTTAGATTTCTACGAATTTTTACAAGTTCATTTCTCACATTACGCTTTATTTTCTTACTTCTTATGGAATCACAGATTAAATTATAAATACCACAGTCAAATATAAAGATATTTAAGCTGGTTGCTTAGATGAGCCTCGACCTGTATCTGGCTCTCACCAGTATTTTCTGAGACCCCCTGACTGGAGAAAGAGCTGAGCATCCTCCAAGACCTGCAAAGCTCAACTTCCCTGTTTTTTAAAAAGCATTTGTCAGACAGAACTCAGATGAACTGCAAATTGTTATGAATAGTCATTATATAAAAATATTATGAGAGTGCTTATTTTAAAATGTCCAACTTGGTGACCTTTTATGATGGCCATTAGGACTGGTGAATAATATGCCATCCCTATTTGTTTATTCTTCAAGGTCTCTGGGATGCATTTTGTATGAGATGTGCTGTATGAACCATGCATTTGCAGGACAGAATTTTTTGTCTGTTGTGTTAAAAATTGTGGAAGGTGAAACACCTTCTCTCCCTGATAGATATCCAAGCAAACTGAATGCTGTGCTATGCAGGTATGTTATTTTCTTGTTTAGCAGATTTTTCACTAAGTTTGGACAATTGCTTAATTGCTACTTTTGGTTTTTAATGTTTCAGCATGTTAAATAAGAATCCTTCATTGAGACCAGCAGCAGCAGAGATCCTAAAATCCCCTTATATTGATGAACAACTGAAAGTATGTAAGAAAAAGCAGTAGCTGTACATTTGCCATTTGAGTATGTATTTTGCAAAAGCAAAATGGAGGCAGGGAAATCATGTTGAGAAAAATACTTTGATAGCTGTTGATGGGAGCATTTATCTAGGGGATTTTCAGAGTTATAGTACAAATATGATTGAGGAATGAAGCCCTCATCACTTGATATCCTGAATGTATCCCCTCTTTAATGTTATGAGCAATAAGTAAAACGGGCATCTATGCATAACAAATGTAGATCATTTGGCCCTGGGTACATATATCTCTGAACTGTTCTGGTTCATCATAGTTTTAATGAAAACCAATGCCTTTTGCTCTTTTTCCCAGGCTTCAGTGCCTGTATTATTTGGCTTTCTGAGAAGCTGGGGAGGGAAACTCCTCGGACAGTTTTTATATCAGGATGGTATTGGGTAATAGCTGAAGATTCTGGATAACTTTATCATCAAATCTTGATACCCATTCTGTTTTATTTTCTTACAGAAAACACAGTACAAGTTCACAAACATTACTGTGAAAGACAAGGCACTTAACTGGCAGAAAGAAACTGCTCCCATTTTTGGTGCTGTGTAAGTATTTTTAACAGTTTTATGGGCAGTAGTATATGAAATTACTGTGTTGCCAAACAATCTCATAGTGCTTCATGTTTAGACAAACCTATTCCCCTGAAATACAACAGAGCAACCACATTAGGGAGATGCATAATTAAGATTTAGGGAGTAAAAAAAGATTTGCAGATGAAATATTCTTATTTTGTGACTGTGTAAATTGCACATGCATGTGAAGGATATGTTTATGTTAATTTAGTACCAATTGGTAAATAAATCATGACCTTTGTCTTTAAATTTTGGAGGTTTAAGCTGTCATTTTAGATAGGTCATCATCATTTATAGTGCTGCTGTTTTGGTAGTTACTAAAAATTAAATAAATTAAATGTGGAAGCTATATTTCCTAAATTACACCAAACTAAAAGCATATACACTTAAACTAATACTCATCTAATACCTCCATAGGATGCTGTTATTTTTGTCTTGTAACTACAGCGAGAAATCAAGAGTAGCAATGTTTCTTGGTGCTTATATCAGCAGTATCTTCACACATGATCTCTCTCTTAGGCACTGAATATATATTGAATTAATTGCATTAAATTACAATGCTGCAATGTTTAAAGCAAATTCCAACATGGACATTTTAATTTTGCCTTTGTAAATTAGCTCTGCAGTTTCATGGGCAGCTCACCCTCCCCTTTGCACCTCATCCCTGAGTTTTCTGTACAGGTTTTGTTCTGAGAGCTAGTAAGAGCAAAACTGGAAGTTTTTGATCCTGTGAGGAAGCAATGAACATCCCTGTTTCTTGTTTCCTCTAAATAACTGTCAAGATTTTAACAGCTCTCTGAAATTTATTTTGAATTATTAGGTTACAGCAATGAAGATTAAAACAATCCAGAACTGGCAGTGCCTTTGAGGCTATAGGACTTTCACCTTTGTTTTTTTGTGATCTCTGCTCTTGTACAGGACCCACAGTTTTGCAGCTGTGATCACTTTGCAGATGCTGGTGTTTCTGCAGTTTGCAAGCCTCCCTTCAGGAGAGGTGACCACCTTCAGCTTTTCCAAACAAAATGTAGTTTGCTGTCAGTGGTAGGAAGAAAGCAGAGTACAGACAGTTGAATTCAGCATAGCAAAACATTTAATACATCATTTTATCCTGTTTAACTGCTGTCAGTGTATCTGTAGGCTCTCATCTTCACAAATTGTGTTTTGGGTTTCTACTCTTCACTTCTGTCCTTAGTGTCTCTTGTTGACAGATGAGTCTGTCTTTTTGTGAGACCAAAATTTTCCAATTTTGTATGAATAGGTACCTCTAGTATAAATAGTTCAATGGACTTTGCAGGCCTTGATGTAAAATGAAACAATAAATATATATATTCAAGTTAATTCAATTTACTTTGAGAGGATTGCTTCCTTTTCAAATTAAATATAGTTAACTACAGAGATAGTCCTTAGAGACATTCTGTAGATAGTTTTGGGACACTGAAATATTTCCCAGATATTATGCCAAGTCTATCTGAAATATATGCAGTAATTTTAATGCTTGTTGAAACATAGAGTATGAAAATCCTCAAGAAACTTTTAATTCTTGCCATTTTCTTGTGGGCACAAATTTTCAGATTATCTATATGCACGAAAACCATTGTATCAGCTTTGGGGAAGCAGGATTGTTACTTGCAAAATATACATCCAGACTTCAAATATCCTCATGCTTCTAGATGAGACTGATAAAACCACTTTGTATTTTTTGTAAAATACATACTGTATTGTTTACCTGATCCATTGTCATTAGCTTGAACGCATTGAGTCTCATCACCTTCCAAATGGAAGAGTCATTTTCTGACAGAGGTAGCATGTGGGAAGGATCTGTAAGTATACCTTTTCAAAGTCAAGTTTGTAGTCTCTAAGAGGAAGAGCAAGTTGTTCTAACTACAAACATCGTGCTCTTATACTATTGTTAGAAGGAAATAGAAAGTCTGCTACTCTGCAGAGGTCCAGAGTTCCTGTAAATTGAGAAGCAATGAATGGCAATTTATCTTGAGGTTTTAAAATTCAGGACGTCAATTAGAGAAAAAATCCTAGGAGAAGTTTTACTTCATCCTCACTTGTGTTACAGTGTGATTATTTCGGCCCAGTGTTTGGAATATGCAAGAAGTCATAATCTTATAATGACTCTCATTGTGCTTATGACATTAGCTGCCTGTATTGTCACTGGTAAGCAAAATACCAAATAATTCCTGCTATCCCAGATCTAAACAGGTAGGTAAAATGAACTAAAAATACCTGAAAAATGACAGAGAGCAGAAAAGGTAAGGAGAAAAAGAATAAACATAGTGAATTTCCTGCATCTGCTGTCTTGCAGCAATACTCTAGTCCCAGTGACTGTACAAATAGCTTCTTGCTATGGTGTTCTCCTCAAGCATTGCTACTTTATATTGATGTTTGCTTTTTCTCACCAGGAATTCTTTTTGCCATGCAAAGCAAAAAGGTTGAGTCTAATTTCTTCTAGTAAAGGCCTCTGATAGCTTATTTTAATCTATTCCCATTCAAGTCATAAATTTTAAATATTTAAGTAAGTATAAGGCTGTACAAGTTCAGTTTCAACTTGAAGGAAAAATTGCTTTTTTCCCCATGAGATTCTTTTAATTTGAATTAGAGTTTTTTACAGGAGAAAAGAAATATGTCTACATTATTCATACTTGAAGAGTTAGTTCCATTCTTATGAATAATTGAACTCTTCTTGTCTTTGTCCTTAATCTTTCATATTTCACACTAATACTCATATCTTTGCACTATTTGAAAAACATAATGAATCTTCTCTGCTCATTTATTAAAATTCAAAATGATAGTCCAGGAGTGTTACAATTTGTACAGTTACAAACCTGGCCTCTTAGATTATCAAAAGTGAATTTATCTCATAAGAGTAAAAACAGTAATTTGAAATGAATACTTGGTATTATAAATACATTGTATAATAAATATGTAATGTGTAAGTGAAAGGAGACTGCCAAGGCATTTCAAACTAGGGTTTAATTTTTGTTTTAATTACTGTAGGATGTGAGATAAAAATCTGAGATTAGTATCCTTTTTCTCATAAAGGACTAATATTGCTTTCTTTAGTTCATAAATACAGCTTAAATACATAAGTCAATAATTTATGCTCAGGTTTCAGAGATGGTCTATGAAGACCATTTTAGCTGTGAAATCTTATTTTTGATTAGGACCAGAAATTCAAGAGGACATCATGATAATTATATCTGTCATTAAGGACACATAAATATTCTCTTTTGTTCTAGACAGTTTGTAACAATCAATGTAAAATGTACAAGTGGTTTTATGGCTCTCATTTAAAGACTGCCTTTGTACTTGGAATATGTCCAATAATGAAGCCAGACAGGGTAAATATTTCACTGTGCTTCAATATTTATTCTTTTAAGGAGATGAATCTACCTATTTCCATCCCCACCTGAAATGATTCACCTTTTTCACAAATCGAAGTTTAAATATTTCAATTTAAAGAAGCATTTGCTTTCCAAACGAAGGTCTATTTAGTCTGCTTTAGTTCCAGAGACTTTCTAATTATTCCATTTGAAATGTCAGTGTGTTTCAATATCCAGTCAAAATACTGAATATTTACATTTTTATATAAAGTTGGGTTTCCTTGCATTCAATTTCAGACAGAAGAAAGTTCATTTGCAAACTCTGCAGGAACTTTCTGAAGTACAGAAAATGACACCGCGGGAACGAATGCGGTTGAGGAAGTTAAATACTGCAGATGAGAAAGCAAAGAAGTTGAAGTAAGTTGTGCCCTAACCATGCAATTTTTCCCACCCAACAGTCTAATTGGAGAGTTAGAATTGTCAAGGTAGAAATAAAAACAATATGGGTCTTCAGCTACTCAAAGTCAATGAGAATTTTGGATGACAATAATCACACAAATTATTTCTGTAGGAAAAAAATTAGAATTTTAGCCCAAAACTGGTGCTTTGAGTACCAAAGTTCTGGTTAAATAAGTATATGAGAGATTTTCAGGTGTGTTACAATAGGAGACATTTTTTTAATGACTGTTTATGTTAAGAATTGCCCTGTCTGAGGAGCTGGACATTTAGTTACAATCCAGTACTTGTCAATTGTTTTGGCCTCAGAGGTTTTCCAATAAAAGTTAATAGCTGAAGGATAAATAGTCTTGTCAAAGGATCAAAGAGGGGTAATGGTTGTATTGTAAAGGATTTATGATTTATGGGCTTTTTTATTAAGTGAGACATAATAAAATATTTTGGAAGAGAGTAAGTACAGTTTCTGATGGAATATGAGAAACAACTGGAAGGATTTGTTTGGGGTTTTTAAATAAAAACCAGAATATATGGTTTTGATGACATATTTGAAGCAAGTAACTAAAACCTTCATGTCCTTTTGGAAAATAGGTCTGAAGAGTACTTGTGCCTGACTGGCATTTGCTACATAAATTGATTCTAATTTTAAAACATCCTCTCCTTGAACTGATATAGAAAGTATTAACATTTCTTCTGCATGGTGCCTTCAGTAATATGGTAGGCCAATTCTTGAACTAATATGAAATTTGTAAATAGGAACAGAAACTGTCTCTTTCACGTTTTAAAAATGAATGGAGAAAGATTAAGAAATCAATTAGTAATAAATTAATTATTAGGAAATAATACTAATTGCTGGATAGTTCTAGTTTGGTTTTCATTTTCATTGCTTTCTTCCATTTTGATGTTTTCTGATGAGATTTTCACATTTTTTCTTTCCCCCAAAACCAAAATGAAATATATTTGTTTTGCAATATGAAGGGAAGATTAATATTCAGACCTTGTTTTCAGGCATGAGTTTTTAAAATGGATCAACACTGAGCTCTAGATCATTGTCAGTTGACTCTGGCTGAAAATGTTGGAAACAATGCAAAAATTATACCTTCTCAGACTGGAGATCTAGTTCCAGCAGTGAAAATCTAGAGATGGGTGGGAAGGGAATATATTAATGGAAGCTGGGAAAACTTCTTAATGTAGCACCTGTCTGAAGTGGTTCCACACAGAAAAGCATGGTTATCAATTGTCCTCTAGGGGAAGAGTTTGTAGCACACAAATGTCCCATGCCTGTCTGAAGCTCAAAGGTCTCTGCACTACGTGGTGGAACAAAGCCCAAAGTATTTAAGACCATTGGAAGAACTAGAAGAGACTGGGACTAATAATTTACTATTTCCTAATTATGTTATGCAAGTTGTGAAAATAAAATATAATAGCACTCGGAGGTAAGGTCTGAAAACTCTTTTTGCATTCATTAAAACCTGAGTAGATACCATGAATATTTGACAACATGAAAATCTCAGCACAGAATTTGTTTTTCCATGTCTGCTTTTAGAAGATCCCTTTGTGCATGCTCTGATATCATGTTCTAAATACAAGTGTTCTGTATTTACAGGCAGCTGGCAGAAGAAAAATATCAAGAAAATATCAAAAGAATGCAAGAATTCAGGTCCCGTAATTTTCAGCAGCTGAATGTCAATGTCCTACATGTAAGTATGGGCTATTGTTTTGGAGGTCTCATTTATGTGCACCCAGTGTATAACACTTTTCTGTTTCCCACATGGCTTCTTTAGCACTAGAGGCACAGGCCTGTTCTGAGACTCGTAGCTGGGAAGTGCATCAAAATCTGGACTGCTTTGCTGAACCTGTTGATCTGTGATGAGACAAAGTACATTCAGTTATTCACATATGGTTCAACAAGCTCTCTATTCATTGCACAGTTTTATTTCTTTAAGTTACCCTTTCTTAATTTACCCTTAAATCTAAATCTGCTCTCTGAAATGTTTTTACTGGCTATATGACATCAGAGTTCAAAATACATTTATTTTCAAGATGTTTAGACTTGTAATCCTTTAAACATTTTAATTTGGCATGGCTGTGGGTTATTTTCATTTGGTTAAGCATATTAACACTTCACCTGGCTTTCTAGTAAGAATGAAGCCTTGGAATGACTCCCAGAATAAGTTGTCCTTTGCTTTTAAGCTATCTGCAACAGAAAATGAGCGAGTTCAATTCTAGCACCACATCCTATTGTAGAAAGAGAAGGGTCAGTTTGGAATAGTTGATTAATGCATCACAGAAATATATTTTTTTTCGCTTTGTATTTTATCTTTTCTTTTGTATGTCCTCTGGTTTCCGTTTTCCATTGTGTCTAGAGTAAAAAATATATTAAACCTGCTTCTTATGGCTGAGTCACTACTGATCATTTACAAAAATGTTAGGATTTTATTTTAACATTTGCCTAATACAAGTCCCAGGAATTGTGTAGCTCAACCACTGTGTTGTGATCCTGCTGAAAGCTCTGTTCTGTTTCTCCATGCTGCCTCATCATTTGACTAAGGAATCTGATGAGCAGACTTCAAAACATCTCATTCATTCTCAGCCAGCCACTACGGGGAACTTTGTGTCCACAGGACATGATGAACCAAGAGGGAATGGGACAAGTGAAATCAGCGTGTCTGAACTTACAGACCATGGTAAGAATTCAAAGTCTGATGTTAAAGTGAAAATTCCTATCAAGAAAGAAAGAAAGATTTGTCCCTTGTAGTTCTTATGCAGTGGGGAAACTGGTTTAAAAAGTGGTCAGATTTGTAAAGTTGTCAAAAAATGGTGAAGAGAGAAGGAAATTAATTTGGGTGAATGTATGTACAGCAGATGTATAGCAAGGTTACGTGGCAGGAGGTCTGTGTTCCCAAAGTTTGAGTGACCTGTGAGCAGAGATAGAGATGAATGTACGTCCTCCAAATGAGACGCTGAATTAGAACAAAGTAGCTTAAAGTTTCCACATATGAAATGACTGGCATTAGAAAAGCTTTTTCTAACTTACTTCTCCAGTGAAAAAGGGAGTACAAGAATTCAAAGTGTTTGCACCTTTGGTACACTTTGATGTCATTTTCTTTAACAATAAGAGAAGCAGATGGAAACTCTTTAAACTCTGCTTATCTATATTGTCCACAAATACTTAGTTATTGTCTAAAGAATATTAAGTACTATATAACATGTATTTTTCTGTTACAGACAAAAAAATAGTCAAGCTTTTTGAAAAGGGTCAGACTGTGGAAATCATATGTTTAATGAGGAGAATATTTTAAAGATCACATTTATGTGTTTTTGTCTACAATGTTCTGGAGTGGTGTCTTACTCTTAAATATTTAAAAATCATTGTGTGAGCACTTATTATGGTGAAAGATTTTTAATCAGATTAGAATCTTGCAAATATGCATCAATATACTTTGAAGTAGGAAGACTACTTTTCTCTAATAGCACTGCCTTTTAGTGTTGGTTTATGTACATCTATGAAAGTATAGGTCATTAAATTAAAGGCATCAGAATAAGTTCACTTGTGTTTGGGTTTTTTTTCTAATTGCAAATGGCACTCTTTTCTTTCAATGTACCCTCATTTGTGTCTATGTGGTTGGCTTGCTGTTTCACAGTATGAGGAGAGATGACCTGTGTAGGAGAGAACCCAGCTGCTAGAAGTACATCCTGGGGGGAGGGCAGGGAAACATGCAAAGGGAGGACTGAGAGAAAGCAGTGAACGTGGGTGGGAGATGGACTGGGAGAAGCATACAAAGACTCCTAAACAGAAACAGAACAACATGCTTGGAAGGAAAGAAACAGATTTTTCTGCCTTTAGAGGTTGTTAAGCTGTTAAACTATAATGACAGGAATGAGATGCATTTATATCTGTGCTGCAAAAGCTGGGTCAGTCCATTGTACAAAACTGAATGCATGTTTAATTGCTTGTGCCAGAGTCTCTGACGGAGGAGTGGTGGGTTCATGACAAAAAAGAGTTATGGATAGGCAAGAGAAATTACACGGTTTCTCTTCTTTGCTTTGTGAATACCTTGTTATTCCTGAAGCTGATGTCAAAGCTTGTTCTTACTCTATTCAGTATTCAGTCTCTTCTTTTCTTTAAGCATTTCGGTGCAACCATGCATATCCTACATGTCTAATTATTAAGTTATTAATTGCACCTTTGTATTTGAAAATGAAAAAACTGTTCCAGCGATTGATTTTCCAACAGAATTTTGTTCTTGATCAATGGCTATACAATAATAAAAGAAAAAAACTTGAAGCAAGGCTATAAAATGGTTTTAGCAAGTTGTCTTTCATGTTAATTAATCTTGCTGACCCTTACTGTGTTAACAGAAGAAGTTAGCATGTGAAAACCAGGCTAAGAAGCTCCCTTGTACAACTAATAACTAAAAACTGTTTAGGAGGGAGAGAAAAGGGCAGACCTAAAAAAATCCTCTCAAGAAAAGCTGGTGAGGAATAGCTAGGGATAGTACCCCAGACCCCACAGGTATGGAGGAAAGGTCAGAGTATCTGTGGCTTGTAGCCTGCAGTCCTTATAAAATTTGCAGCTGAAGAGAAGATCAGGGATTGGAGTATTGAAAGATCAAGCTATTAAAGGATTAAGGAAAGGAATAGAGAATAAAACACCTTGTACTCCTCTTTCAGTGAAAATTATCTAAACCATTATGAATCATAGTTGTATGTCATTGCAGAAGGTGTCAAATACAAATCTTAGCTTTAGTAAGTTGTTTTGAATACTGTGGCATCTTGAGTCAGATTTAGTAGTGGTAGTTACACTTAACTGAAAGTTGGGAAAAACAAGGCAGTGTAGTTAGATAAACAAAACCCACTATGGCAGTTTGGGGTTTTGGACTTCACAGTGGACAAGTTTTAGCAATGACAACAGCATTAAACTACTATAGACTTCCCTGGGGAGTTTAAACTTCTCTCCATGTTTGTTTTATGTAATCAGCAATGATATTCTGAACCTTTTTTTATTCTAATTAGTAGCCTTGTACACTTGAGAGACATTTGAAAGAGTTCTTTGAAATCATCTGTAGCTGAACAATTTGTTAGTTTCCAGACAGGTTTATTTTCTGGAATATGAAAGATGTGAGTGGACCCTGTGGTTTTGATGTGCAGATGAACTCACTGAACTACAGAAAAGCTTCCTCAAGACTGTTTACAGCTGGTACAAGTTCTTGAGAACTTAAAGAAATGATCTGATTCTTATTCCTAAAGAGAAATGCTTCAGGCAATGTAAATACTGTTTTTTTAGCATTTTAAAATGCTTTGCCTAGTAGCTTAAGTACTTCTCCTGTGTATAAACCTCGACATATCACTTCTATATTGTCCATATGTTTTAACACTGGTCATTTTTAGCATACCTGGGCCTTCCATCCTTATTCTTTCCTTAAGATGCTTCCCAGCTCTTACCTCAGAATTTATAATAGATTATTTTGGTTTTAATGCCCTAAGTTTTGAACTCACAGCTATGTTCTTTGGGTTTCCTCATTTTCCATTATTCCATTTTTCAGGGTCATCTAGTGCTTATTCTTATATTATCCTGGTTCTGGGACTTGGTCTCTCCAGCTGACACGCGTATTAGAACAAAGGATTCTTTTGGTTTGCCTGTTACTTTTCACTGCACTGCAGATTTTCAGAGAGTTGGTCAGGGTAGCATTACTTGCAATAATAAAGATTTTAATTTTATTTTATTTTATTTTATTTTATTTTATTTTATTTTATTTTATTTTATTTTCTATTTTATTTTATTTTTTATTTTATTTTATTTTATTTTCTATTTTATTTATAATTTTAATTTATTTTATTATTTTTTATTATTTTATTTTTTCTATTTCTCTGAAGTTGCCATAGTAAGTTTCTGAACAGTTTTGCATCTTTTTTGCATCTTTTTGCATCATACTATCTAAAGTAAACAAATTTTCTTCTTTTATGTAAAGAGACAGACAATGGAGTGGCTAAGAAAGAGCTAGAAAAAAATTACTTCTATGATTATTGTTAGCCATATTAAGTAACTGAAGTATGTTGATTGTATCATTGGAAGAATAAATGTTCTTATTGTATTGTTTCAGCTAGTTAGACCTCTAACGTGTTCCTTAGAATACTAAACCTTTGTAAATAGAAGAAAATTAAAAGTATTTTTGCTCATTTGCAAATCTTTTATGTAATAGCTTTAATCTGCATTAAGTTTTTAGATTGGTTAATTGGAAACAAAAATTACATTTTGCTAATGAGATACTTATGAAAAGAGATTTTATAGTTATGTTTAATATTAGTTGAAAAATGTTGATATCTCTGTCTTATGTGTTTCCAGGAATTTATGGAATTGTCATCATACAAATAATTTAACTTTATGGCTGATGGAGCAGTTCAGAATATATTGTACTACTAGGAACAGTTTTGAGTTACTGTAGATATCTTTGTGTCTCTTCCATCTTCAGTTTCTCCAAGTACAAGCAAGAGACAAAAAAGCTGAAATTAGATTTCTGTAGAGAAAAACACAGACACAGAAACACTGAGCCACTGTCAGTGCTAAATTCAAATATTCGTGTGTTGAACATATATTATATATATATATACATATATATATACATATCATTTGTTTTCAATGAGCAGCATAAAATGGAATAGCTAATAATTAGCATTAGGAATAGCTAATGATTAATAACAGAATTCTCTTCATGTTTTGATTTGGATGTTTTGTTTTCTGCTTCATTTCATAAAGTTCATTTTATTGATTAATTATTTCTAAATGTTAAAAAGCATATTTTCCAGTCATGACAATGACACAGGAATGAGCAATGCAAGATGTGTCAGGATAAACTTTTACCTATATTTCCTGTTCTTGCTGAGGGTTACCTACAAAATAAATTATTCATCTTCTCATGTTATCATCAAAAAGAAAAGCCACGTAGCAATAAATTGCTTAACATCACGCACAGCCCCCTGTCTCTTGACCAGTTTTTTATAGAAGCTATCTCCATTTGGACTAGGATAGATAGGCCAATGTACATTTTTCTGGAGATTACTGCATTTTCAGCACATCTTTCATTTGTGGGTTTGTGAAAATACTGGTGAGGCAAATTACATTGTAGTGCTGGCAATCAGAGGTCAGTTCATCTAACAGAAAAAAAAACCCAAGCTGTGATAAAGAGCTCTGCATGTTAAACTGCTCATTTCCATTAATGATAATGAGTGCAGATGGAATAAAATCATCCATTTTATAAAACATAAGCAAAAAACTATCAACAAGATAATAGGACCATGCATGACCTACAACCCAGCCTTGTTTTTATGGATGAATACAATCAGTGTCTTCCTCTGCCAGTTACAGCAAGGCAGTTCCAGCTGGGCAGGTTCATTACATGCTTAATGTTTAATGATGTGGCCTCCTAAAAAGCTACTGGAACCATCACAAAAATAATGCACTGCTTCCTAATATAGCATTATAATTCACCTTCATCTTCTAGTTTACCTGACTGTGCTTGTTTTTT